TAATAGTATGATGGGGGCAAAAAGAAAATCACAATAACTAAACCAAAGCTTCAAAATTTGAAACTTGAACTTTACTCAAAATTTTATCTCATTGAGTCAACGAAAACAATCAATTAAATTTTGATTATCAAACTTGATATAATATACAATAAACAAGATTGCCAGAAATTTTCAATATCTTAAAATATTATAGTTTTATTTTTGTTCTTATGAAGTGAAAATATATGAAATAAAAAATTGAATGAGAGAATGCATAATTTATAAATTTTTCATTTGTCGTCTTCACTGTTTAACGAAAGTGAAGTTTACATGGATTATGTAATCCTATGAATTGCATACACAAACACACACATATATTTTAATGAGCTTGCGATACATATAAAGCTTGATTATTGAGTTTTCTGTCAAGTTAATATTATTTTTCTTAATCAAGCTGAGTTCCCTTATTTTAGTCAAATTGAGTTGTAAACATTTGTTGAATCTAAATATGGCAAACCAAATTCACTAGAGTAATCCTAAACAAGTCATTCTCAATATTTGTCTAACTCCCACCCAAGAGACTGAAAAACAAAAAATAATAAATAAATGGGAGAAGAGTATGTAATAATCTATAAGTAATAGATAAGAGGGGATATGAAATGAGAGAGAGAGAGAGAGAGAAGAGTATATAGGGGAAATAATTTGACAAGGAGATTAATTAAAGAAGAAAATTTAATGTGAGAAGTGAGACCTGGATATCTATGCGTGAAGGTATCCCATATGCTAGGACCTCTACCACCTTCATTTGCTGCACCTTCGTACTAAGAAAACGAAAAAAGAAAAGAAAAGGCATGCATGTGAAAAATATTGTTTGTCATCTCGATTGAATTGCTTCAGACACATCTAAACAGTTGATTTGTGTGAGTCCTATATAAATTCCATAAAAATTAATGACTCATGTCTATTTGAAACAACATGTCATTTGCCTATTGATCTTTTTAATTTTGGTGCAAAAACAGTTTACGAAACTAAAAAAAATAATTTTTTGGTGCTTTGTAAAATATTGTTATTTCAAAACAAAATCCCCCAAAAGTTTTAGGAAACAATTCACCAAACTTTTTTATTTTTTGTTTTCGTTTTCTAAAAATAAAAACAAAAATCAAAAGCACAAACCAAACAACATAACTTTTTCTTGATGGGCAACCAAACAACATAATTAATAGCACAAATATGAACCACAATATACGGCAGATTGAGGTAGATATATAGGAACCTGATAAGCAGAAGAGGCTGTGCCAAAGGTAAAACCGGGTGGAAAACTGGTGCGATTGAGAGAGTCACTGCCATAACTACTATGTGTTGAAGCTTCTTCATTGCCATGTGTTGTTGTTGTTCTTGATTGAGCTATCAGAAGGAAGAGGGACAAGAGTATATAACCCATAATTGATTTTGGTTACCCTCTCAACTCTTGCATGTTTTGGCTTTAAATATATGGTGCCATGAGAATAGTTTAAAAATTTGTTGTCCTTTTAATGAATTTTTTTTTATGCTAATAAAATAACATGTGATACTATTTTTTTTTTATCAATTATAAATGTATATATTCTTCGTATTATTCTCTAAACACCTAATACAAATGCAGTGGACTTTACTGTAAAAAACAATCACAATAGTAGAAGATATACCACATGATATATACCTTAAACACGAAATAATAACAATATTAAAATCTATTAATTCAAAAAAGAATATCGGAAGTAAAATTCCTTTCTAAACTCATTTTTTTTTTATTAGCAAAGAAAATAAATTTTCTTTCTAAACTCATTGATTCATATAGAATACCGAGAATAAAGACTCAATACTAATTGATTTACAAAGAATACCCAAAATTAAAACAAAAGCGTATAAAACTCAAAATATGTAACTCTCAAAAGTATCCTCCTTGCCTTAAGGCTTACATCATTATGATGTTTTTTTAAATTCAGTTGCATCATTATGAAAGGCGAATTTTAAAAAATAAATATTTTTATTTTATTATTTTGAAATTAGTAGTTGACTAGGAATTTTCTAATTTAGTATAGAATATTATAGAATTATTTAGTTATTTAATTTCTTAATTTGAGATGATGCAATTTTCTTACTTTATTAGTTTTGATTTTATTTCTTATTTTATTAGTTACTTGTTTTACCAAAATTGGGTTCATTATAAATAAAGATATAAGCCTTATGGTAAGAGAGATAGTTTTTGAGAATTAATATATTTGAGTTTTATACTCTTTTATTCTAATTTTGGGTATTCTTTGTGAATCAACCATTGTTCAGCCTTTATTCTCGGTATTCTTTGTGAATCAATGAGTCTAGAGGAGGATCTTACTTCCGGTATTCTTGTTTTAATCAATAGATTTTAAGATTGCTACTATTTGGCATTTCGCGTTGTATCATATATCCTATCTACATATAAAAATCACTCTTAATGAATTGAGAGATTAGTCAATAATTTATGTAAGAATACAGTTTGTTTGATCTTCTTAGTCAAATTCCGTCATCTGTCTGTATTTAAAAAAAGGAAAAAAAAAAAGAAAAAAAGAAACCATTGTTTTATGTCACAAAAATATACATTATATACTGTGATGTCAAGTATCTAGAAAAATTATCTACAAAAATTCTCAAAATTTGAAATATTTGTCTCAATTTGGCTCTGATGTGTTCCACTAAATGTACATTCAAATTTTGGATATTTTTCTTGATACATTTATGCTCTCTCTCTCTCTCTCTCTCTCTCTCTAGCTATACATTGAAATCTTGCTTGTGAGCCATTTTATTTTGCCAACTTTACCCCTTTTGTGGCAATCTTACTCACTGTCACATGCTTTTTCGAAATCACGTGGCAATAAGTAGAATTGCTTATTATGACTTAAGTATTATGAATTCAAATATCATAAATAGTTTTTCCATATATTGGGAGATAAAAACGTGAAAATTATACTTTCTTCAGACTCTGTAGTGATAAAAATCTTGTATCACTACCCTCTATCCCGATTGATGTTCATCTTCACATATCAAATTTAAAATTTATGCTTATCATAGAATCGTTAGAGAATTGAACAATGGCAAGTAGTGAGCATTTTTTGAGAGAAATCTTATCGACAAGATCACGCTTTGCAATGAGAAAAATGGCTTTTCAGACTTTGCAATCAGAAAAATGGCTGTGGTATCATCTTAAAAGTCATTCATGTTTGTTGATATCCTAATAAACAAACATGCTGATCTTTGTTTTTATTATTTATTTATTTATTTATTTATTTGGGGGGGGGGAGATTATTGTTGACTTTTACTCCCACGTTCAGTATTATATGGTTGTGCAAATTTGTTTATCTTGAAAAATACACGACATTTGATTGATTCATTTTTGTGGGACCACCTCCATGGTTCAATTAATGATATTTTGTGTATTGTTAATATGTGTGAATAAATTTGCACTCATATTAATTATGATAGTTTTATTTATTTTTTAATCAACAAGTAAAATCTCTATTGATGAAATCAACATTACAATAATGATAGTTCCGATCATCATGTGGTAGGAATTTCTGTTGTACTCTTTCAAATGTATGATAGTATACAATTATTTTTTGTTTTATGTTTTAGGCAAATTAATTGTGTAGAGGTAGATATGGAATACTCTTTCAATCTAAATAAATCCTTGGATAATCTTCTTAGCTGTCACCTGAAATAGAAATAAAATTCCGAAAGATGGTGCCGGAATTAGCACTCTAACAGACAAGTTAGTATCTATAGAAATGTTGGTGTTTTATGGTTTCTTGAGGTTCAAGATTCTTGGCACATGCCTCCTTCTTGGGCTTCTCTCCACCTTATATATATATATATTCTCTTTGACATTTTCTCTATGTAGCTTAGTCCTTCATCATTACTCTGTCAATACCCATCTCCCTACCACACTTTTATCAAAAGAAAGGATAATCTGGATTCACCTGACCTAGTTAAGCCGACTTCCCCGATACACTTAACCTTATTGCTCAAGTGCCCTTACTCGACATACTCTTCATATTACTGTATATATTCGGCAATGCCTCAATGTCTGAAGGGCTTGGGTTTCATTTAGCCCATCTGAGATAAGTTTGGTTGTACTTTGTTTGTTTTACTTATAAAGATGTATGTTTAATGAAACAACAATGATTCATCCCCCTTTTCCCCCCACTCCCTTTGACCCCCTCTCTCTCTTATTGGTTACATTTTCTTTTTCTTTTTCTTTTTTTTCCTACTCCTCCAATCACCACCCGCCACGTGGCAAAAGGGGGGGAAAGGGGGTCCCAAGCATTATTCTTAATGAAATATATTGGTAATAAGTACTAATTATTATTTTAGAAGATAATTTTTTTTTCCTTTATTTATTTTTGACTAAATTGGTGATAAATCCAATCTAAGGAGGGTATAAGGTATTAGGTCCAGTGGATATTTTTTTATTGGTGAGAGATCCATCATTTGTGAAATAGCTTGATAAGAAGTCATTTTGTTAGTTTTGAAGGCAATTTGTTTCCAATTTTACCCCTTAATATATCTGTTGACTTTTTTTTTTTTACTATCTATTCAAATTTAAATCTATTTAAATTTATATCTATCTATTCAAGTTGCTTTCTATCTATTTAAATTTTTTTTATCTATTCAAATTTATATCTATCTATTGAATTTTTTTCCTATCTAGTCAATATTCTGTGAGTTTCTCTTTATCTATTTAAAATCTATTAGTTTCTCTATCAATTTAAAAAATACAAAAATTTGTTTTATCTGTTCAAATTTTTTTATATTAATTTTTTAATCTGTTTAAAAAACAAAATTCAAAAAATTTATCTACTCAATTTTTTATCCCAAAATAGTTTATCTATTCAATTGGTCTACTCTACCTTCTACTAGAAACATGTTTTTGAATTGATCTTGGTAAAATCTAATGACTGTAAAAATGTTTGTGAGAGAGAGAATATGTTTCGTATGTTTCATCTGTATAATTTTTAGCTGCAACAACAAACTACAAACAAAATCAGAATCAACTCCTATATGTTCAAAGCACTACAAAAAATAACTCATCTACATTAACTGTGCAGAGCACAACTCAACACTAGATCTGAACAGATAACCCCAAAAAAGATATAAAAATAAAAAAATAAAAACTAGATCTGAACAGATTGAAGAAGAAGAAGCCAAATCCAGATCTAGAAACTATCAGCAACTCTGACTATGAAGGCGACTACATTTATCCCTCATCTTCCTTGCAAATGAAATATTTTATGCAGAAAAACAAAAATTGTATAAGAAACCTGGAGACAAACAAATCACCAAAATTACAAAACAACAACTAGAGACAATCAAATCCACAAGATCTACTCAAAGTTGAGTAAGAAACCTCACCTTCAGAGATATTATTATGAATTTCGACACATTTTTGGACGACTTTGTGGTCCTTAAGACCTTCATCGTTCTCAATCAATGACTCGGTGGAGCCTCCGTTCTTGTTGTTCACCGTCGCGGTCGCAAAAGAGGGTTTTTCTAGTGAGAGCTTAACTTTAGAGGCAAGCACCCACTGAAATAAGGAGAACACAATTCCGATGCCGATGCACACTGGGAATACTATCTCTGTGCCGAGATCGGAGAGTATCGCCTGCCTTATGATTGAATTATTCGGCTGTAGCGCACGAGGGCGTTTGACTCAGCTACTGCATTCTACTGGCGCTAGTTGTTAATCATAAACTCAAGAGAAAGAGAGAAGAGAGAGAAACACAATATGGAGAGAGAGAGAGAGAGAGAGCATTTGCATTGTGTTTCACCGTGGATACCATATATATGTAAGGGTAATTTGGTCATTATACAGAAGTCTATCCTTATGGACACAATAACTTTGGGAGCATCTATTTACACACACACACCTCTCTCTATACACATCTTCTACACACAACTCTCTAACATATTTCCTCATTAAATGTGTGAGAAAAGAGTGTATGGTGTGTGCAAATAGAACCTCCCAATAACTTTGCCGTGGATCTTTGAACAAAAGAAAATCAAATTTAGACTTTTGAACCAAGTGCCCCATTTTTTTATATTTTTTTATTTTTACTTTCTCAATCACCAATCCACAAAAGAAAATCAAATTTGGACTTTTGAACCAAGTGCCCCATTTTTTATATTTTTACTTTCTCAATCACCGCCCATCGTCGCCTCTCATTGCCATTTGCATTGTCGGTGGCTTGTTGAAAAATTAGCCAATGCCAAAAAAATCATCGGCAGACAAATGGACATGTGTACTAAGTATAATAAGATACAACCCATATAACCTATAACTGATTTTGGTTACACTATCGGCTTTTGTTTCGTTTTTATATGGAGTGTGTGCCATCCAAGAGGCAGAACAATTAGAATTTTGAGTCAAACATACCATTTAGTAACAAGCTAGTTTCTCAAAGAAACATGGTATGTCCGGTTTAGTTTTGAAATTAATTATGAAAAATAATTTTGTGAAAAGAATTTTAGAAATTCAAAATTTATTTGATTATAAATTTTCAAAGTAGTTTTGAGTTATATATTTTAAAATAGCAGACAAGAGAAACTGGAGTCCTAGGCCGTTCAGGTTCTTAAATGCTTGAATCCTGTACCCAAGATTCACGTCTGTTGTGAAAAAATCATGGTTGGATTCACAAGTGCAAGGATGGGCTGGGTATAGAGTAAAGATGAAATTGTGCAGTCTTAAAGCTGAATTGAAAAAGTGAAACATTGAGGTGTTGGGTTGTGTGGAGGATCAACTGAAAAAGGCTGAAGATGAATTGCATAAGTTTGATTTATTAGCAAAATTAAGGCTGTTAGAATCTCAGGAAATTGCAAGAAGAATGGAGGTGAGGAATTTGGTATGGTCATTAAGAAAGAAAAAGGATTAGATTTAGTTCCAAAAGTCTAGATTGAACTGGGCTCAAAATGGGGATAGAAATACTAGGTTCTTTCACATAATTGCTAGCTAAAGGTAAAGAAGGAAATTAGTAGACTTAGTGGTAATTGATGATGTTAGCAATGAAGATCCAGAACTGGTGAAACATGAAGTGTTAAGGCATTTTCACAGGATTGGCCATCTAGACCAAAACTGTCTGGTAGCTTTGTGAAAGTTAGTAATGCTAAAGTGGTGGAGCTTCTTGAAAAAGGGTTCATAATGGAAGAAGTACGGGATGTAGCAAAAGGTTGTGATGGGAATAAAGTGTCGGGATCGGATGGGTTTAACATGGCATGCATCCAGAAATGTTAGAAGTTCATGAGGAGTGATCTATTCCAATTCATGCAGGAGTTCTACAATAATAGCAAGCTGGTCAAAGGGCTCAATAGCTCATTCATTACCCTTATTCTAAAGAAGAGCAGCCCCTCAGGTTTGACAGATTACAGGCCTATAAGTTTGGTGGGTGTAGCGTACAAAGTATTGGCTAAGGTACTTTCAAAAAAATTGAAAAAGGTATTACCAAATGTGATTAGTGAAGTGCAAACTGCCTTTTTGGGAAGTAGGAACATCTTTGATGGAGTAATGATTGTCAATGAGGTGGTGAATTAGTGTAAGAAGTCCAAAATGAAGAAGTGATACTCAAACTTGATTTTGAAAAAGCTTACTTTTTTGTCAATTGGGAGTATTTGTTTTCTAAAATGGAAAATATTAGGCTTGGGGAGAGATGGTTAGGTTGGACACAACCTTGTGTCACTACGCCAAGGATTTTAGTACTTGTTAATTGATAGCCAACATAAGAGTTTTGTCCACAAAAGGGATTAAGGCAAGGTGATCCTTTATCCCCCTTTTTGTTTAATATAGCAGCTGAGGGACTTAACCTATTATTGGAAAGGGAAAAAGCTTTGGGGTTAATAAATGAAGCTACTATTGGGCCAACAAGTTTGAAACCGTCTCATCTCCAATTCGCCGATGATACTATCCTATTTTGCGAAGCAGAGTGGGAGGAGATTGTGACTATCAAAAGGATTCTTAAATGCTTTGAGCTTATGTCAGGACTTAAGATAAATTTCCACAAAAATGTGGTGTGTGGAGTTGGGATTAGTGATGAAATTGCACAAGTCTTTGCCTCAAAACTGCACTTCCTATGCCAAAAGTTACCTCTTAAGTACTTGGGTCTACCATTTGGGGCAAATCCAAGAAGGAAAAAAGAATTGGCAACCTGTGGTGGAGAAAGTAAAGGCCAAGTTAGCTCTATGGAAAAGAAAGATGTTGTCCTTTGCTGGCAGGTTAACATTGATAAAATTTGTCCTAGATAGCCTCCCTGGATTTTACATTTTCATTTTCAAATTACCTAAAGGAGTAGCAAAGGAAATTGATAAGTTGATGGCAACATTTTTGTGAGTGGCTCAGATACAAGAAGAAAAATTCATTTAGTGAATTGGAAAGAAGTAACTCTGAGTAAAGAACAAGGAGGGTTAGACATAAGAAGGGTAAGGGATATAAATGACTTTATGTTAGCTAAGTGGTAGTGGAGTCACATACTAAGTGTGTCAAGGACTAACACTGGACTGTTTGATTTTTTTTTTTTTTTTATCTAACTGTAAGATTATGATTGGCGATGAGTGTAGGATTGATTTTTGGCATGATGGATGGCTTCAGAACATTCAATTAAAAGTGGAATTTCTCAGGTTGTTTATATTATATGTGGAAAGAAAAGGGACATTGAGCTCTTTCATGCAAATGAGGGGATAACTCAAAGGTTTGAAAGCTACTGTTTAGAAGACCACTCCTTGCTTGAGAGGAAGAAGAGGTTAGTAGACTGCAAGTGTTGATAAAAGATGCTCTTTGGCTTTAATGTGGGGCTATAGGACTCAGTTAGGTGAGATACATCCCTTGATGGTCAGTCATGTGGCAGCAATTAGAGAATGGCATGAGTTAAGTCAAGGTCCAAGATTGCAGGTCCTTAGGCTGCTATAGAAAGGTGTAGCTCCATCAAAAGCTTAGTTTTTGAGTTGGTTGGCATGGAGAGGGAGTGTGAAAACAACTAGTCTATTATAAAGGTTCGTGGGATTGCGTAACACTGTGGAGGATTTATGCCCATTTTGTAACACATTATGTTGTACTGCTTTGAGGTTTGGAAGGTTTGGTCATCTCTACTGAAATTGTGGGGCTTATCTCGGGTCACACCTGCTACTGTTGATGGAGTGCTGCTATGGTGGCTGAGAACACAATTTAAGAAGATAATTAGGAAGATTTGGAGGCTTGTACCAGTTGCACTGTTGTGGTCATCATGGAGGTTAAGAAATGAGTGTGTTTTTAATGGGAGTCAGCCAAACATAGAAAAGCTTAGTGAGATTGTAAAGGTAAGGATTGAGTTGTGGATGAAGTCTGGGTTGCCCGTGATCCCTTATTCAATGCATGATATTGTGGAGAATATGAATCAGGTACGGTTATGTATTTGCGTGTGTTTAGTTGTATGGGCAAGTGCTGGTTTTTATGTGGTTGGTTTTTTTTATTGAATTTGTTGTTTGTTCTATGTTGGTTCCTTACCAACTTGGGGTTGGGTGCAGCCATATGATTGTTCTTGTTTTCGGGTGGCAACCTAATTGGGATTTGGATTTTAAGATATGATGACTTTTGCTACTTACCCCTCCCCTCTCACCCCTCCCTTTATTGATGTAATATTTCTCAAATGTTGTATTGTTTTTTACTTATCAATAAAGGTCTCTTTTTGATTGATCCAAAAAAAAAAAAAATTCAAAATTCAAAATAGTTTATAGAAACTTGAAAATTTGTTTTTCCAAAATAGTTTTTGTTTTTGTTATTGTTATTGTTATAATTAGTTGTCATTTTAATTGGAATTAGTCAATAATAATTTATAGGAAAAACTTCATTTTACCTCTTTGAAGTTTAGGCCATGTGCTATTTACCTCCATAACGTTTGGAAATGGCCACATAACCCCCTCGTAGTTGTGGATTGAAGTGTGTCATTAAACCCGTTAACGATTTAATGAAAAAGATTAAAATATCGTTATATTTTCGTCATCTGTTTAGAAAGCAAAGTGCACTTTAACTCCTTATACTTTATTCCATGTACGATTTAACCCCTGTACATTCTCAAATTGTGCAATGACGAATGTCTTATTGACGCAATGCACATACACGATGAGAATATGAAGGCCTGACACCATCGTAGGGCCTGATGAACATCAAGACTGTTTGCACTTTGAGCTTAGAAAATTTCCAAAAATCTTATTCCAAAATCAAACGACAAGATCTATAGAATAGATAATTTGTTGGGAATTTTATTGTGAAAGGAAATTAACTCTAAGAGGGTAATTTGCGTGCCAATTCGGCCGAGCTAAGTGGAGTCTACTTTGGATGCTGGGCCGAGGTAGGAGTTTTGGGTAGCTCGGTCTTGAGCCGTGCAGACATTGCACTAGGGCCTGGACCAGGTTGCCTAGATGTAGTCCAGAGAGCAAACTGGGGTATTACCAGTGCATAGAGCCGAGCTGGAGTTAGCTCGATAGAATGCCATCTTGGTTCTATTCAGTATAGGGTGGAACCAGGTTAGCCCGATTAACTATGCTACCAGCTGAGGTAATAGATCTAAACCATCTCACTTGGTTGGCAGTGAGAAAGGTGTTCTCATGATAGGCTTTATCCTTAAGAATGTGATTTCTATGAGGACTCTACTAAGGAGAGTTAGAGTCATACTAGAATTGTGCCAGGCAGGTTCTATAAAAGCTCACGACAAGACCTATGCACAGGTATCGCAATTCTAACTCTCAATTACATAGAGCTTTTGTGTCTATTGTCTATTCGCTGACTTAGGCATCGGAGAGGTTTCCGGCACAC